TGAGAAAAAGGCCCAAACAGTAAAACTGGATAACAAAGAAAAGCAGGAACGATACAAAAGCTATGCAAAATTAGGAGAATTGGCAATAATTCTCGAGAGGAAGAGGGATGGGAGCTTGAAATGTTAACAAAGTCAATAATGATATCATTCATTTTTGCTGGAATAGGTTTCAGAGCTGGAGCTTGCCAAAGGGAAGGGCTTACTTCAGCACAAACATTTAAGCAGCAGCAGCAGGAAAACAAAAAATAAGGCAGATACTCCCCTCTCTACCACATGTTTAAGAAGCAGCAGAAAATGATATCCATATAAAGAAGACTGCCCCACACCCCGCAACACACTCACCCCCGTATGGAAATCCATGACTTGGAGAGAAGCAGAGGTCTAAGTACAGCATGAAGATAAATAGAAAGGGAACTGAAGGAAATACCACATAAAGATTACACCACAAACTGCCCAGCTGGGCAGAACTTGAGCTGCCAATAATTTGATTTCACAAAAAGCTAAAGAATAAGAGAGAAAACTCTATTCAATTCTGATAAGGAAAAACTGAAAAATGAAGTGGAAGAAAAGGAAACTGTATAACCACCCTGTCTCAGGAAGGGAATGTCTACAGTTAATATTGGAGGGCTTACTACGCCTATGTAGTGGGCAAAGGGGAGACACACTGAAGAATTCTGTGTTGTCCCGCATATTGAACTTTCTGCGAGAATGGAATGTTCTGTACTTGTGTTGTCCAATGTGGTAGCCACTAGTGGTAGAAACTGCTGTTTGTGTGAGTTGTGTATGTGTCTGCTCAATTTTCCCATCACCTGAAATAGGGGCCCTTCAGGCACCTCCAAGGAAGACTGGATCTCAGGGTGTAGAGGAGGCAGCTATGCAAAACTTGGTAATGGTTTAAACTGGGGACTCGAGGGTGTTTCTGAATGTCTGGATGAGGTGATCAAGCAGAATATCAAAATGTGATGCTATCACCGAGAAAGGAAATCAGGAAGGGAAGGTAGAGGAATGCAAATGAACACGTCAATTCTGAACGTGGGGTGGCAGCCAGAACAGCCCCTCTGTTCCTCATCAAGAAGTCCACACCCTAATCTCGGGAACCTGTGACTGTTAATTTACAAGCCGAACGGGAATTAAGGCTACAGATGGAACTAAGGTTGCTCATTAGCTGACCTTAAGACAAGGAGAAGATCCTGGACTGGCCGGGTGGGCCCAATACAATTACAAGGGGCCTTAAAAGTGGAAGAGGGAGACGCGAGAGGAAGGCACAGAAACATAACTATGGAGGGTGGTCATGAGATGCAACGTTGCTAGCTTTAAAGATGGAAGAAGGGGCCAGGACTCACGGAACATGGGCGGCCTCTAGAAGCTGGAAAGGATAAACAGATTCTTCCCGAGAGCCCCCAGAAGGGAACACAGCCTTCCTGATACCTGGATTTCAGCCCAGTGAGAGACCGTGTTGGACTTCTATGCTACAGAGCTGTGAGGTAATACATTTGTGTTGTTTTAAGCCACTAAATTTGTAGTAATTTGTTATAGCGGGAGTAGGAAACTAACACACATATCAAAGCTAAAAAAACCCCACAAAACCTGCAGGTATGAGAAAAAAAGGAAATATTTAAGAAGTGTCAGCCAAAAGGCAGAAGGTGCATTCTGCAGAGTGGTGACAAGTTCATTTACCACGGGACATGAGGTTCAAAGCAATGTGGGAAAAGTGGGAAGGAGGCAATGGGGTCAAGGTGAAGTTACTTAGAGCAATATGAGGATGACAGGGTGGAAAAGAACAGGGGCTGTGGTGTTTTCCAGCCTGTATCTCTAACACAGAGCCTAACACATAAGTGCTCAATGTTTGCAGAATGGAGCTGCGAGGAGGGGGCTGTACTTTGGACAGTGTGGGATAGATAATGCTGGAGTAGAGAGAAGGGAATGCAGGAATGAGGCATGGTGGGGTGAAGTAACCCAACACGGAAAAGCTCCGTGCTGAGGCCTTTGGGGTCTCAGGCCTGATTGATAGCCTATGTTCAAGTGATTCCCAGCACCTTTGTGAGAAGCTCCTGAAGTTAAGGTACTTAACGAAGAAATCCTCCATTACAGGGGACGGGGCTTGCTGGCAGAATGGAGGGGAGCCGGTGAGAACTGCAGCTGTCTCAGTGGCTAGGATGCCTTGAGCTGCTTTTGAGAGACAACTAAAGGAGTCAACGTGGTGACGCAAGGAGCTCTGGACTACTTTGAACTCAAAGAGGATGTGTACATAGTGTAATAAGTAGGACATTAACTAGTAATGAACATAAAAAATGGGACCTGGGACCAGAAGCCCGGAGGCAAGTGTCAGAAGGACAAAAGCCCCAAATGAGCTGAAATGTGTGGAATATGTTAAGAAAAACAGAGCCTTTTCAGGCCACAACCAGGAAGAAGCCAGGGAGAAAGGTCACTGCTTCCAGCACCTGGTACACACTTAAATAACAGAGGACGCAGATCTGAATGAATTAAGTTTTTCAAACAGAATGATTTTCAAGCAGCAAGTGTGGATGGAAGAAACAAGGTTAGACAGGCTCTGAACCTCGAGATAGGTGTATTTAAAAAAAATCTAGACATTTTAATAAATACAAGTCTTCAGTTCTCAGCAAACTAGGTATCCTGGATTAAACAGATGTGATTGTATATCTAGTGATCAGTGACATGAGAAGTCGCAGGAACAGAAAAGAGCCATACCATCCATCAGAGATTGGTGTTATTCCAATTTTCAGAAACAAAAAAGGCTTATCTCCTAGTCTATAATTGAGTACTTTTGAAGAGATTAAAACACCAACAGAAATATGTATTAAATGGCTCTTTGGTCAGACACCACACTAGAACCTTTTATTATACATTAACTCCTTTAACGTGAATCCCTAGACAAAGTAGAGTAGGTTATTATTCTTTCATGTACTCCTGGTTGTACTGAGAACAAGTCATGCCAAGCTTACATTTTCTGTTTTGGAAGGGAAATACAGGAGACAGTAAGTCAGTTCCGGAAGTAATTTGGTATCTAAAACAACTAGAGAGCTGTAGCCTGGATGGTAACACCATCTGTGGTATCTCCAAAGCTGCAACAATGCCGGGGGCCAGGAAGCACTCATTACATGTGGAATAAGGGATGCAACCCACAGTTGACTTGAATGATAAAGTGCTCCAGATCAGTTGACAGCAGGGCATCTCCGGAACCTTTGAGTTTGACCTTAACCTATCCCAGCTCAACGTTTGAATCAACTGAGATGAAGCCAACTTACCACATTCAAAGATAACATGCTAAGGGCAGCCAAATTATTAGAAGGCAAGAGTCAGTATTCTAAAATATCTGCATGGCTAGAATTAGGTGAAATTAAAAAAAAAATAGTTTTAGAGATTGTAGAAGGAAAGTCCTACCTTTGGGCTTGAAAAAAATGAACTGCGTAATAGGATGAGGAAAACCTAGTTTAAGAGTAGTTCACCTACAAGAACTCATAAGTTTTCGTTAATTGCAGGCTCAATAAGAAGCAGCTGTCTGATAGTGGTCAAAAAACCAGCTAATGCCAATTCTAGGCTGCATTCACAGAAGACAATGTCCTCTTTGCCAGTATCATCTCTGGGGAATGTTCTCAATTCTGGAAATAGCATTTTAAAAGAATAACTGGACTGTGTTGGGAGGACGGCAGGATTGAAGCTTGGGAATGATCTGGAAAACTATTGAAGGAACAGCGAATGTTTAAACTGAAGGGGGGAGACCTTTTTGGGGGGAACAGTGTACAGCAAAATGGTATCTTTAAATAAGATATGCTGTCTAATGGAAAAGGGATTTGACTAGGGATGACAGATGGGTTTCCTCTCCTGAGCCAGTTCTAATCAACTGGCAGTGACTGCCCGGAACTGGTGCTGAGAAAGATTGAGAGACGAAGTGCAGTCAGCGGGGAAAAATGCTGTGATCAATTATCCACCGCTGCGGGTTTGGGAGAGGGCACTTACCTACTGGAGTGCCAAGTATTTGCTCTTTTTTGCCACCAACCAAATCTTACCCGTCAAGGCTCAGATGAAGTCATTTTTTCTAGCGATGTCCCGGCCACTTCCATATTCAACCACCTCTCCTTTTTCTAAACTCCTTACCCAGTCAACAATGCATCTTGGCTCTCATCCAGCTCTCCCGCTACAATGTTTTCATTACTGCTTCTGGAGAGACTGGTTCCTTTTCTAATTAGATTTAAGCATCCTGGGTACCCGGCTCACTTCTTCCTCACAGCATGCAAAACCGGTGGGTACTCGAAGTTTTTAGCTCACTGATTTTCAACCAGCGGCGATTTTGCCTTCTAGAGGACATCTGGCAGTGTCTGGAGACATTCATGGTTGTCACAACTGGTGGGAAGGTGCACTGCTAAACACCCAACAGTGCACAGGACAGCGCCCACAACGAATATTCGGGCTCCAAATGGCAATAGTGCCGCAGTTAAGAAGCCCTGGGTTAGCTGGGTGACCTAGTGAAAGGCAACAGAAGCGAAGCCCCCGAGCTAGTGGACATTTGCAGGTTGAAATGCGGTGTGGATTGGCCAGGTGAGCTGTGCTGGACTCAGCCAGCTGGGGAATGGCCGGGTCGGGCCTGGCTGCCCCAGATGGGAACAGGGTGGACGGACAGGGCCAACACGCGGGTCACGCAGGGCCGGGGACGTGTCCTGGAGAGCCTGCCGCGCCCCCACCCCCTCCTCACGACATTCCCTACCTGCGCGGAGACGCAGACAATGGAAATACCCAGTCAGTTGCCTCAGCAGCTTCAGTTGAGATTCCCAGAGCAGCGCTCGCGAGACTCGGCCGTTGCGTTCTCGTGATATGTGGGAGGAGCCGGAGCGTCGCGCAGCCCAGCGCATGCGCGGTAACGCTCCAGGCTAGGGAGGCTCGTCGTGGCTGGCTTCAGGAGAGGGCGGGACCGGCTCTGAGCTGTGGTGCCTCATCTCTCCCAGTCCCGGCCCTCCAGCCTCCTGGGAAAGTCGCGCGTGGGCCACGACCCCGCCTACTCGTCAGAATCGCGGAGAAGGGAAGTGCGCCTCTCTGCCTGAGTTCGGAGTGGGAGGCAGAGCGTTCAGCTTCCTGGTGCCTCTCGATCCCCCGGGACAGAGGCAGGCTCCGAGGGCTGGGAGGCCCCTAGTCCTCGGCTTGCAGCCTGGGGTGGGTCTCAAACTCGGGGCGGGTGCGGCTGGCTTGGGAGGAAGCAGACACCTGAGGGCTCAGGTAGCTACACCGGCGCCTCCTCGGGATCGGCGGAAATGAAGCCTCTTGTTTGTTTTCGTTAAAGCAACTTTTCCCGCCGGGCCTCATAGGGCTTCCTGGAGACCAGCCAAGAGTCTGTTGTCAGAAATTCACCTCCTCTCTCTCCTGCCTGCTAGGTAACCCGTAACCATTTTCTCTTCCAGTCCACCATGCCCCCCAAAACTAAGATGTTGAGTCAAGATGAACTACGGAAAAAGCTGTACCAGACGTTTAAGGATCGGGGTATACTGGACACGCTCAAGGTATCAGTTTTAGGCATATCCGTTGTACAGCTTTTCCAAGTGTAATATGTAACAGGTAGTCCACATTTAGATCCCTCCAGTTCTTGGGTTTTAAAAGTAGTACGATATGTACTTGTAGATCGTATTGGTGAGTGATGTTTTCATGTTCTGTATAACTATATTCTGGAACAATAGTCTCAAATGGTTTCGAGTTTGAGTAGTCTAAAAGAGCATATTCAAATTATAGATTTATTGATCTGTCATTAAGATAAGATTGGGTACCTTCATAAAATGAATACATTTTAGGGAGATTAGGCTTGTTTTATAAATCTGGCTTATAGGTTCCTGAATTAATAAGCGGTTTTGTAACAGTCATGTTTCAATGAAAGACATTGAAACCGTATAGAAAACGTGCTTGTCTCACTCCAGTGTTATGACGTTTAAAAAACCAATCTATGGTACCGCTTACTGTAGAATAGTTTGGGGAATGAGAACTTTCTTCTTTAAAATATATTGAAAGGTATGAATATTTGGGCAGCAAATATTTATTAGTACACTATATATGAATTAACAAAGGATTTGAATTACTATATACATTACTATATACTATATACATTTCATTACTATATACATTATAGAAGTCTATTTTATACTTAAAGTGGGAAATTAAGAAAAAATTAACTTGATTTTTTTTTTTTTCCTTCTCCTTCCCCCATTGTTTTTGTAACTTTAAAACAAACCAATTCAGACTCATCTGAAAAATACAGAAAAACATACAGGAGAAAGGTCAAAATAAAAAGTCAACCCTGCTACAACCACTAACTGGCATAATGGGGTGTGTATGTGTGTGTGTATCCTCCTTAGTTTAATGTTATATGGTGAACATTTTCCTGTGTCCTTAAAAGTTTCTTGAAATCTTCATTTTTGGTGGGACCAGGCTCATATTTGGATGTATGGGTAATTTATATAGCAGTCCCCTGTTGAATATTTAATTTGGGCAGCAAATATTTATTAGCTCACTTTATATATGAATTAACAGCAAAGATTAGGATTAGCTCAAATGTTTTTATTACTATGTATATTTCAGAAGCATATTTTACACTTAAGATGTTGAGTAGGTTATTACCGAGGTCCACACGTTCCTTCAATTGCATCTCTCTCATTTTTTGCCTAGGATAGATTAAGTGGCATTACTTGTGTTCCTGTAGACACTTTATCCTGGAAAATCAAATCAAAGGGCATGAGCATTTTTTTTTTAAGGCTCTTGGTGTACGCATCTCGTTCTAGAAGGATTGTAATAGTTTTTATTCCACCAGTAATTTGAGAATGCTTGCCTCACTCCAGTATCATCATGACATTTTAAAAACCAATCTAAGATTGGAAAACCGTTATTTTAGTATTCATTCCTTTAATTATTAATGAGGTTGCAGATACTTTCTGGCCATTTGTGTTTTCCGTGGATTGACCATTGATATTCTCTGCCCATTTTTTCCCTAGAGTGTCAGTGTTTTCTTATTAATGTATAAGAATTCTTTTAGTAGAAACTATTAATCTCTTTTCCATTTTTGTGGTAATACTTTATCTCGGTGTTCAGTTTTAATTTGGCTCTAAAAATATTGATGTTACATTTTTATATGGTCAAATTTAATTTCTTTTTAGTTTTTGCTGATTATTCTCGCTAAATTCTTCACTAAGCATGAATATTCACTTTTAAGTTTTTTGAAAAGCTTCATTTTTTTACAGTTAACCCTTTAATTCACCTGAAATTGATTGTAGTATATAATGCATTGATACACTTTCTAATGTGGACTGATCCTTGCATTCCTGAGCATGGTATATATTCTTTCTTTTTTCTGTGTTTCTGGATTAGATGTGCTGGTGTTCTACTTCATATCTGTATGAAGTCACAATTGGTATTGACTAATCAGTATCCTTTCTGAGCTATCCTTGTTTGGTTTTGGTATGAGGATTATGCCAGCCTTCTTCACTCTACAGCTACCGTGTACCCTTGGGAGAAATGTTGTTTCCTGTTTGCAGCTGGCTGTCCAGTGTCTGTTATTCAGCTTGATCAATGGCAGGGCAGAGTTTTACTCTCTCAGCCTGAGCTAATTTTCACTTTCTCAGTTCAATGCGGCCTGGGTGAGTTCTAATGTTTAAAATGTCTTGAATTTTTTTAGTGGCCTAACTCCTATTCTGTTTAGATGTTTGAAAAGAATTTGTATTTATTGTTAAATACAAGTCATAGGTATCTATTAAGTGAAATTTATCAAATCCTTTTCTTATTTTGAGACTACTCAGTCTGTCAGTTTCTAAGAGAGATGTGCTGAGGATCCTCAGGCCTCTCCTTTCCCACTTCCTCTCCCCCCTACAATAACCGTACTTATTTCTAAGGGGCATTGTAAGCTTTAGTTCTGAATGGGTTTCCCTTTGCATCAGCCGTTGGAGGCCCCAAGCCAGTTTTGCAATTCCTTGTAGCAAGTGCTAGATGGCATGTTTTTGTGTTTGTCGAAATGGGAATTCATCTATAATATCATTTCATTTTTTTCTACTCTTATTTTCCTGTCACCTGCTTATATCACTCATTTAAATTTTATCATATTTTAGTACTCACTTGCAAGACACTCTTAGTCCTTTTATTAATTAAGCTGGATCTAAATATATTACTTCTTTAGTGTGTTACAAATCTACTTAAACCACCTCTAAATTTTACTGATGGAGAATGCTGTCGTTTCTCTTGTATTATTATTTTCTTTACTGAACTGTATTTCATGAGGCAGACCATGTGTATTCTGTTCAGTGTAAATGTCTTTTGTACTATAGGATTTTATATGTATAATAAATCCCTTTCTGTACTTGTAATTATATAGTGCTCTCTAGCTAAAGGATAGAAGGAGATATAACAAATCCACTTGTTTCTTGCTTGTATTCTATTGATAAAAGTACATTAGATATTATTTATTGCTGAACTCCATGAATTTAGGCAACATACCCTTAAGCTCAGCCCAGTTGTATGTTTCCAGATTACATGCAAAATAGATCAGAACAAATACTCAGTCGTTCAATTAATTTCGAGATTTTCTTAAAACCAAATGAATAATAACACTAGTGAATTAAACGAGAAAATTATCCACCTTGAACCTAGATTTCTTTATTTATAAAATGTGAGAAAATTATTGTTTCACGATATCTTGAGATGTAAATACTATATGCAAAAGTACATTTTAATAAGCCTTCTTTGGGTTTACTGATTTCTCTCTTGCATATGTTATTTCCCTTTTGAGAACTCAATTTTATCTTAATCAATATGCCCAATAAACTTGTTTCACCCGATATTGTTTTCATATCCTCCAACAATCTGCAGAGAGGTGAGGAAGCAGTAGAATTTTCTCCTGTAGTTGGTATCCCGGTCAGAAGTTGCTGCTGAGTCAGAGTCTACATGGGTTCTAGCTGACCACCAGTGCACTTTTTCCAGAACCCACCAGGCCGCTTGTCTCACGGGCTAAGACCGAGTGCAGGGGAAGGTTTCAAGTTCTGGCCGTGGATCTGGAACCATCGTGGAAATAAAGGGGACTC